TGTGTGTCTCTGAGTCCATCAGTGGTGTTTCTAGTGTTGATCAGTGAGTGTTTGGGCAGGTGTGTGTCTCTGAGCCCATCAGTGGTGTTTCTAGTGTTGATCAGTGAGTGTTTGGGCAGGTGTGTGTCTCTGAGCCCATCAGTGGTGTTTCTAGAGTTGATCGGTGAGTGTTCGGGCAGGTGTGTGTCTCTGAGCCCATCAGTGGTGTTTCTAGTGTTGATCAGTGAGTGTTAGGGCAGGTGTGTGTGTCTCTGAGCCCATCAGTGGTGTTTCTAGTGTTGATCAGTGAGTGTTAGGGCAGGTGTGTGTGTCTCTGAGCCCATCAGTGGTGTTTCTAGTGTTGATCAGTGAGTGTTAGGGCAGGTGTGTGTGTCTCTGAGCCCATCAGTGGTGTTTCTAGTGTTGATCGGTGAGTGTTTGGGCAGGTGTGTGTCTCTGAGCCCATCAGTGGTGTTTCTAGTGTTGATCGGTGAGTGTTAGGGCAGGTGTGTGTCTCTGAGCCCATCAGTGGTGTTTCTAGTGTTGATCAGTGAGTGTTCGGGCAGGTGTGTGTCTCTGAGCCCATCAGTGGTGTTTCTAGAGTTGATCAGTGAGTGTTCGGGCAGGTGTGTGTCTCTGAGTCCATCAGTGGTGTTTCTAGTGTTGATCAGTGAGTGTTTGGGCAGGTGTGTGTGTCTCTGAGCCCATCAGTGGTGTTTCTAGTGTTGATCGGTGAGTGTTCGGGCAGGTGTGTGTGTCTCTGAGCCCATCAGTGGTGTTTCTAGAGTTGATCAGTGAGTGTTAGGGCAGGTGTGTGTCTCTGAGCCCATCAGTGGTGTTTCTAGTGTTGATCAGTGAGTGTTAGGGCAGGTGTGTGTGTCTCTGAGCCCATCAGTGGTGTTTCTAGTGTTGATCAGTGAGTGTTAGGGCAGGTGTGTGTCTCTGAGCCCATCAGTGGTGTTTCTAGTGTTGATCAGTGAGTGTTAGGGCAGGTGTGTGTGTCTCTGAGCCCATCAGTGGTGTTTCTAGTGTTGATCAGTGAGTGTTCGGGCAGGTGTGTGTCCCTGAGCCCATCAGTGGTGTTTCTAGTGTTGATCGGTGAGTGTTCGGGCAGGTGTGTGTCTCTGAGCCCATCAGTGGTGTTTCTAGTGTTGATCGGTGAGTGTTCGGGCAGGTGTGTGTGTCTCTGAGTCCATCAGTGGTGTTTCTAGTGTTGATCGGTGAGTGTTAGGGCAGGTGTGTGTGTCTCTGAGTCCATCAGTGGTGTTTCTAGTGTTGATCGGTGAGTGTTAGGGCAGGTGTGTGTGTCTCTGAGTCCATCAGTGGTGTTTCTAGTGTTGATCGGTGAGTGTTAGGGCAGGTGTGTGTGTCTCTGAGTCCATCAGTGGTGTTTCTAGAGTTGATCGGTGAGTGTTAGGGCAGGTGTGTGTGTCTCTGAGTCCATCATTGGTGTTTCTAGTGTTGATCGGTGAGTGTTCGGGCAGGTGTGTGTGTCTCTGAGCCCATCAGTGGTGTTTCTAGTGTTGATCAGTGAGTGTTTGGGCAGGTGTGTGTGTCTGAGCCCATCAGTGGTGTTTCTAGTGTTGATCAGTGAGTGTTCGGGCAGGTGTGTGTCCCTGAGCCCATCAGTGGTGTTTCTAGTGTTGATCGGTGAGTGTTCGGGCAGGTGTGTGTCTCTGAGCCCATCAGTGGTGTTTCTAGTGTTGATCGGTGAGTGTTCGGGCAGGTGTGTGTGTCTCTGAGCCCATCAGTGGTGTTTCTAGTGTTGATCGGTGAGTGTTAGGGCAGGTGTGTGTGTCTCTGAGTCCATCAGTGGTGTTTCTAGTGTTGATCGGTGAGTGTTAGGGCAGGTGTGTGTCTCTGAGCCCATCAGTGGTGTTTCTAGTGTTGATCGGTGAGTGTTAGGGCAGGTGTGTGTCTCTGAGTCCATCAGTGGTGTTTCTAGTGTTGATCGGTGAGTGTTCGGGCAGGTGTGTGTGTCTCTGAGCCCATCAGTGGTGTTTCTAGTGTTGATCAGTGAGTGTTCGGGCAGGTGTGTGTCTCTGAGCCCATCAGTGGTGTTTCTAGTGTTGATCAGTGAGTGTTTGGGCAGGTGTGTGTGTCTCTGAGTCCATCAGTGGTGTTTCTAGTGTTGATCGGTGAGTGTTAGGGCAGGTGTGTGTGTCTCTGAGCCCATCAGTGGTGTTTCTAGTGTTGATCGGTGAGTGTTAGGGCAGGTGTGTGTCTCTGAGCCCATCAGTGGTGTTTCTAGTGTTGATCGGTGAGTGTTAGGGCAGGTGTGTGTGTCTCTGAGTCCATCAGTGGTGTTTCTAGTGTTGATCGGTGAGTGTTAGGGCAGGTGTGTGTGTCTCTGAGTCCATCAGTGGTGTTTCTAGAGTTGATCGGTGAGTGTTAGGGCAGGTGTGTGTGTCTCTGAGTCCATCAGTGGTGTTTCTAGTGTTGATCGGTGAGTGTTAGGGCAGGTGTGTGTCTCTGAGCCCATCAGTGGTGTTTCTAGTGTTGATCGGTGAGTGTTAGGGCAGGTGTGTGTCTCTGAGTCCATCAGTGGTGTTTCTAGTGTTGATCGGTGAGTGTTAGGGCAGGTGTGTGTGTCTCTGAGCCCATCAGTGGTGTTTCTAGTGTTGATCGGTGAGTGTTCGGGCAGGTGTGTGTGTCTCTGAGCCCATCAGGGGTGTTTCTAGTGTTGATCGGTGAGTGTTAGGGCAGGTGTGTGTGTCTCTGAGTCCATCAGTGGTGTTTCTAGTGTTGATCGGTGAGTGTTAGGGCAGGTGTGTGTCTCTGAGCCCATCAGTGGTGTTTCTAGTGTTGATCGGTGAGTGTTCGGGCAGGTGTGTGTGTCTCTGAGCCCATCAGTGGTGTTTCTAGTGTTGATCAGTGAGTGTTCGGGCAGGTGTGTGTCTCTGAGCCCATCAGTGGTGTTTCTAGTGTTGATCAGTGAGTGTTTGGGCAGGTGTGTGTCTCTGAGCCCATCAGTGGTGTTTCTAGTGTTGATCGGTGAGTGTTAGGGCAGGTGTGTGTCTCTGAGCCCATCAGTGGTGTTTCTAGTGTTGATCGGTGAGTGTTAGGGCAGGTGTGTGTCTCTGAGTCCATCAGTGGTGTTTCTAGTGTTGATCGGTGAGTGTTCGGGCAGGTGTGTGTGTCTCTGAGCCCATCAGTGGTGTTTCTAGAGTTGATCAGTGAGTGTTAGGGCAGGTGTGTGTGTCTCTGAGTCCATCAGTGGTGTTTCTAGTGTTGATCAGTGAGTGTTCGGGCAGGTGTGTGTCTCTGAGCCCATCAGTGGTGTTTCTAGTGTTGATCAGTGAGTGTTTGGGCAGGTGTGTGTCTCTGAGCCCATCAGTGGTGTTTCTAGTGTTGATCAGTGAGTGTTCGGGCAGGTGTGTGTGTCTCTGAGCCCATCAGTGGTGTTTCTAGTGTTGATCAGTGAGTGTTAGGGCAGGTGTGTGTCTCTGAGCCCATCAGTGGTGTTTCTAGTGTTGATCGGTGAGTGTTCGGGCAGGTGTGTGTCTCTGAGCCCATCAGTGGTGTTGCTAGTGTTGATCAGTGAGTGTTTGGGCAGGTGTGTGTGTCTCTGAGTCCATCAGTGGTGTTTCTAGTGTTGATCAGTGAGTGTTTGGGCAGGTGTGTGTCTCAGAGCCCATCAGTGGTGTTTCTAGTGTTGATCAGTGAGTGTTAGGGCAGGTGTGTGTCTCTGAGCCCATCAGTGGTGTTTGACTCGAGTGAGTGTTGAGAGGCCGTGTTCAGGCTGGTTCAACACGAAGCTTCGGCTTCTCCCCGGGGGACACGCGCTTCAGGCGGCGCTCTCAGTGGGAGTTGAGTGAGTCCAGCACCTCACTTTAGTGTGTGTGTGTGTGTGTGTGTGTGTGTGTGTGTGTGGATTGAGCTCCAGCCGCACTCACGCCAGAAGAAACAACTGCCGTTGATCCTGGATCTTTTGCTCTAGTAACATATTTTTAGGCGGAAACATTCTCTATGCAAATACGCAAACAAACTGACACATTGTTTGTGCAGGTCAAGTGTCGTAGTGTCAAGTGCAGCGTTCTGTTTTAAATACTTAAAGTGCGTTCCTGCATGTGATCGTAAGTTGTGAACGACTGACTTTTAATGGCCGATACCGATATTTTAAAGAGCAGAGTGGCTGATGGGAGTTATAAAGACAAAAATATTTAATATCGCACTATTTAACTTAAAGAGTGTAAATAACACAACCAATATAACTTAACTTATTAAGTTATGTTAAGAATTATTTGTCAATGCTTTTGCGCTCTCTCGCAAATGTTTTGCGTTTCCCCGAGCACGAAAGCATTGACTTATTATTTTTCCTCCCATCTCTGCTGCAATGTCCCTTTAGGGGCTCCGTCCAAAACATCCGCTGCATTTAAATTTATATTAATTTACCATATTTACTAAAATAATTAGCAGCAAAACATTTGAGAATGAATCTATTTTCTTAAACTAACATTTAAAATCTGTAAAATAAACATTTATATTTTATGTACCTTATTTTATACTTAATCTTATTTTGAAATCTGTCAAACTAAAAGCCTCACTTATCGCTAAACTGAGAACCGATTAAAAATGGCCAATTTCTCAGACCTCTTAGTGACAAACCTCAGTACTCAAAGGGGGCGATCTAGTTTTCCTAAAATATATGTGCCGTTAAAGTGAATGTTTTATTTGCGGTGGCTCATGATGACTTCACAACAATAATGCTGTGGCACCTTGAACTTGCTTTCCTTTCTGACACATCGACCAATGCAAACGCATGACATTTAGTCCAGTTAAAGTGCATTCGATCACTCTCATGTGTAGAATGCTAATTATTACATTGTTCAAATTAAGACATTTTTAGCTAACTGTACATTTCTGAAGTGCATAACTTAGAAACCTCTGATAAAACATCACTCTAAATTGTAATATATCGATCATGCATTTTCTGTAAAGCTGCTTAGAAACGATGTGTATTGTGAAAAGCGCTGTACAAATACATGTGAATTGAGCGTGTTTTTCATGTTCCCTCACAGGCATTTTCAGGGTTCTGCGGGAGAAGTGCCAACACGTCCACGAAGCTCTGCAAGGGCGAGTCAATCCTACTTACTTTCCTTTCATGAAATAAATCTTGTGTTTAGAAAACCTGTGAAAATCAAATCAGTGTTATCGACGTTATTGTGAGCAATAATCATCATGTGCACGCCGACATGCCAGACGTGCAGGACTGATAAGCTCTGGCGGAGCGAATGCTCGTGTGCTGTTGGCTGGCCAGGACTGAAGATGTCCTCGGGGTTTGTTGCAGGACTCCAGGACTGAAGCTGGTGGGAGAGACGTTCGCTCCGGCTCTGCATCTACAGCTGGAAAACAGCACGGGATCCAGAGCAAACGACCTGAAGCTGCTCCGAACCATCGTCGATTACGTACGTCCAGCCAGCAAATCACTGACAGAATGAGTCTCGACCATCAGCGTGTCCACGAAAGTATTCAATCCAGTGTAATAATGGAAAACAATATCGCTGTAACCTCTTAGCAGTGCGTATAAATTCATATAAATGCGTTGTTCTTTTGTAATATGAAGCATTTCGCAGCTTTAGATACCAAAATGAACGTTGAAAAGTTGAAATAATAATATAAAATAAAGTAATTAATACTTTTATTCAGCAAGGATGCATTAAATCGGACGAAAGGGACAGTAAAGAGATTTATAATGTTACAAAAAGATTTCTGTTTCAAATAAATGCTGTTTGTTTGAACTTTGTTCATCAAACAATTCTGAAATGTATCCGTTTCCACAAAAATATGAAGCAGCAGCACAACTGTTTTCAACACTGATAATAATAATAATCAGAAATGTTTAATCATATCAGAGTGATTTCTGGAGGATCATGTGACACTGAAGACTGGAGTAATGATGCTGGAAACTCAGCTTTGATCACAGGAATAAATGACATTTTTCTATATATTCACATAGAAAATGATAATTTAAAATGCATTATTCTTTTGATATAATAGCATTTCATAATATTACTGTGTTTTGATCCAATAAAAGCAGTGTTAGTGATCATAGAAGACATGTTTTATGTTCAATAAATAATTAAATGTATTCCATCAAGTCATATAGTTTGATTGTTAGCTTTTTACGGTTACAACTTGTGATGACGTCGCTCGTCCAATCACAATTTAGAGTTAGAATTGTCCATTTTATGATATTTATTAACCCATGGCTATATAACCAGAAAAGTGACATTATTTCAGAGGCAGAGATGCAGTGATGGATCAAAATGAAACGAGTTTCTCATTACATTATATGCACAATAAGATCACAGACATTTATTAAACAGAGTTTTGAAAAAGGTCGATTTTGAACTCATGTTGACTTTTAGGAAGTGATGCGGTGTGAGTAAAATAATCTGTGTTTTGGTGATCTCCGTAGAGTTTGGAGAGACAGATCGCGCTCACTTTGGCTCGATACCTGGACAAAGAAGAGCGATTCCTGCCACCGCCAAGGTCAGCGGTGAACGATCTCCTGTTTAGCCTCTCTGCAGTGATGTTCTGATGCTTGACCTGAACCTCTGCTGTGTCCTCAGCATTAGAGTCGTCGTCACCGTCGAGCAGACGCCGGAGGACATCCAGAAAGCAGCGGCATGCATCCGAGAAGCCGCCGTGAACCTGCGGAAATGACCACACGTCCATCAGAGACGCGGGAGAGAGAGTCACGGCTCGATGACCTTTGACCCCGAAGACCTCAGCAACACACTGAGCGAACCTGTTTGTATTATATTTATGTTGGTGTACAGATACTGTGGATCATTTGAGTCTTTATTTCACGTTGAAATAAATGCAGAGCTGGTTCTTCACGCAAACCTGTTCGTGACCCGGTCAATGCCTTGAGTAATGATGGGAGATCTTAACTAATCAACAATAAATACCATAAAAAAGAATACTTATTATATATATATATATATATATATATATAGTAACTTTTTGTTCTACACTTGTATTTACATTTTGTTTGTTACCTTTGACCAAAGAGTTGCTTCTATACCACATTTCAAAATGTTCATTCACTGCATATGAATTGTGTTTTTCCTCTAGCTTCGAGGAATCATACATTAAATAATGCAGTTCATCTTTCTTGGATTCAGGTTTTTTTTTTTTTTTTTTGCACACACACACACACACACACACACACACACACACACACACACGGTTTTGATTCAGTGATTGTCAATGTCAAAATGTGACTGTTTTCTACCAAAATTCAGGAATAAAACACACTTAAGCCTTTATACAAATTAGTCATGTTGGGTTGGTTTTTATAATCTTTTTCATCACCAAAAATAAATGTATATACAGAAATATACACTACCGGTCAAAGATTTGAGTCTGTAACATTTTTTGATGTTTTGAAGGTAGTCTATTGCATTTATTTGATCAAGAATACAGTAATACATTGAAAAATTATAACAATTTAAAATAACTTTTCTATTTTAATATATATGTTTATATATATTATAATAATATAATTTATTCCTGTGATAAGTATTGGTGAAAGTTTTTTAAAGTGAGGCGTTACAATATTATGTTACTCCCTAAAAGGTAACTAATTGGCTTACTTAATTACTTTTTATGGAAAGTAATGTGATGCGTTACTTTTTCTCACCTGGGCTGGACTTGCCTGCTTATTTTTTAATAACCAAAACCAAAATTTCTACCTTTGGCAAATGTAAAGGCTCTTTCACTCCAAAAGTGAAATGACACAAGAGAAGAAAGTTCAACACTCTTATTTCAGCAATAAAAAAAATTAAGAACATTTATCTGAAGTCATTTTGCTTTTTCGTAAGATTAAATAGGATCATCGAAGGTCAGAAGCAAACACATTGTTTAATAAAGTGAGATTAAATGCATAAAGTAGGCTATATAATGTAATTTAACATTTAATTATTGCAGGTTTGCTGCAACTTGCGTTACTTTTACTCGTTACTTGAAAAAGTAATCTGATTATGTAACACACGTTACTAATGCGTTTGTAAAGCTCAGTTTTCAGCATCTTCATCACTCAGTCAGTCTGAAGCCGTAAAGCTGCTGGATCATATTTGATTTGCGAATTTGTCAGGCCTCTAAATGATCAAATGAAAATGATTTTTGCTGATTTTTATAAAGTGAACATAAGAATAACTTTTATATTGTTAGTATTATTTCAAGATGAACTCTTACTGGGCTGAAGCGACTCAGGTTTACTTGATTATTCATACATCATTTTATAGAAAAATCACGAGTATCAAGAATGATCATCAGGATTTGAGGAAGGTTTATTTGTTCATCTCTCAATCATTGTATTGCATTGCTTTACATGTTTTAAAACGACAGTGCTTTGATTACTAAGCATTTAAACAAATATCATCTTATTCAGACATATTGGGAGATATAGAGTGACGACTGATATTTATATGGTTTTATAATAATAATAATTCGATACATTTATAAAGCGCTTTTCTGGGTACTCAAAGCGCTTTACATAGAAGGGGGGATCTCCTCAACCACCACCAATGTGCAATAGTTTATGTAAATATGATTTGCATTACAAGCATCATAATTTCATATGACTTTTTGGCCATTTCTTCTCAGTTTGGGCTGATTTTTCACTCCTCCTTTAGATTTTACGAACTCCTGCTCCATTTTCGAAAAGGTTCTCTGACTATTATTTCATACTTCAGGCTTTACAGGGTTAATATGCTGATTTTCTGCTCAAGAAACACTTCATATTATTAGTATCAATGTTGAAAACAGTTGTGGGCTACTGCTTCATACTTCAATATTCGACATAGAAAGCTCGAAACTCCACTAAATCTGATCAACTTTCTGAATGAAAACACTGAGTGATCCCGAGGTTTCACCGGCAGGTGTCGTGTTTTTCCAAGGTGATCGAACTTCCATTCAATCTCATTCCCAAATCACTAATCCTACTATGGCTAGAGTAGAAATTCATGCTGACGTTCCCTAAAAACCTTCGTGGTGCGTCGCGACACGTGACCTCGTTAATATTCAAGAGCCAATCAAAGTTCGCTATTCACCCAAATCAATTGAGGGTATCGTTTGCTAATGAATATTCATGAGCTGAGCCGTTGCGGTAGTAGGATTCGTAAAAATCGTTTCTTTCCCTTGGGACGTATCCATCCTACGTCACGAGGAGTTGGAGTTACTCGCTCACTGTGGTGTTAGGAGACTTCTGGGACACTTGAACGGGATCCGCGGCGCTCGACGAACACCTTTCGACTGAGCGGGATGAAACGCGTTATTGTTTCGCAAACGAACCGTCATAAACAGTTTCATTCACTGCACACTTGAGCGCCTGGGAAAACGCGCTTTGTTCGCACGCGCAAACTTAACTTTCATCCTCACTTGTGGAGAGAGAGAGAGGCTTTATCCCGGAATCCCGCTGCTCCAGAGGAATGCTCCCTGTAAGGATGTACACACTGAGGATTACAACTCAAACCCGTCTCTTGGCGATATACATCTTCCTCGCAACTTTTACACATGCAGGTAAGAGTTCGTGCTTTTATTATCATGTTTCCCCCCTATCTGAGTTTTCATAAATTATTTCTGTGTGTATGCTCGCATTAATTACATTATATTGGAAGCAATGTCTGCTGGATTTGATAATTTAAAGAGTGTGCATAATTAATAGAAGTGTGGAAAATGTTTTTGCTGTTCGTGTAAGTTAGTTTAATACGCGTTCCTCTTATGAAGATGTGAGATGATTTATTATCTTGTCACCTAAATATGGTGTTCATATTGCTGCAAAATTATTGAATATACTGTAAGGGAAGCAGATTAAAGGTATAGTTACCCAAAATCTTAAAATTCTGTCATCATTAATTACTCTCCCTCTTGTTGATCCAAACCTTCCAATATGTCTAAATATCTTTGATCTGTTGAAAACAGATATTTTGATCGATAATTTGAAGAATATGGGTAACCAAGCAGTGTCTGGTCCTCATTGACTTCTAGGTATTTTTTTTCCTTAGCCTACTATGGAAGTCAATGGGCCTCACATCTGTTTGGTTACCCATATTCTTCAAAACGTCTTCTTTTGTGTTCAACAGAATGAAGACATTTGGGAAGGTTTCGGGTGTGATGACAGAATTACAATTTTACTTTGAACTATCCCTTTAAGTGCATTTACTCTAAGCATCTCTAACTGAATGCACCTTTGCTTCACTTTGATCTGTAATTTACTGTGCCTGTTTTAACGAATAAGAGCTTTATTATTCCCCCTTTAAATCAGATGTAATGCATTTACGTGGGTTTGTTTGTTGAAATTGGCTGTAGGTAATCAGATGCATATTTTGAGAGTGATTTCGTGTTAATTCGTTTCCCTCCCTGCAGGGAGGAGTGTGACAGATGTTGAAATTTCCTGTTTTGAGTTTGCGCTCTTTTGGCCATTTGTCTGGAGGTTTAAGGGGGATGGGACCCCTTTATCACCCCGCGCCGAGGCTTTGTTCCGGCACTGGAGCCTGTGGGGAAGTGTTGGGCTCATTGATTAGGTGTCTGTGTGTCAACAACACGTGACTGACTCTTCTTCATCAGCCTGGCAACTATTGCCACAAACTATTTGTTGAAGACTGCAAGTGAGCAGCCACAGTTTTCACTTCACACTTGAACACACTCGTTCACACAGAACACGTTTTTGTGTTTAAATACGCGAGACGCAGGGAAGTTGAATGGGGGGGGGACCAGGTCTAAAGATGCTTGATAGGGCCTACTTGAGCATATAAGACCAGTTATCCTTTAGACGCTATTGAGGACGATATTATGGAAGATCGTTTCTGCCACAGAATAAAAAACTAAATAAAAAGGTGTAAACCCTAACGCTTAAAATAATTATTTGGTTTGAGTAGAGCCAACTCAAATTAAAAAAAAATTAGTTAAAATGAACTTTTATGAGTATTTAGAACTTTTTTTTTTGAGTTCACAAAACTGACACATTTTTAGTAGTCTGAATTGTTTCATTGTTTTGAGTTTTATGACCTTGTTTCTTTTAATTTATACAAACCTAAATTTAACTGAAACTTGGCTCGGATTTCTATTTCCCAGCATGCTTTGCCATGACACTCAAAAGGGAGAGTACCGGTAAATGATTCAATTAATTGGTATATAATGTTTTTTTTTTGCACAAGGGGGGGATGTGGAGCATGAGCTTCGTTTGAGAACAGTTAAATATGTTAAATATGTTATATTGCTGTACTCATTCAGCAAGTGCTATGTTAATGCTATCAAAGCATTGTGTTACCAATTAGCAAGGTAGCATTTATTGAATTAGCTAGTTAAAGCTAGCCAAGTTTTCAAGCTACTAAAAATAAGTTGAGATTACATGATAATTCTAAGTTATTATGAATTGGCTTACTCAAATATTTCAAGTTAAGAGCAATTAAAAATGTGTGAGTACAAAGTTCTGCTTACTTTAACTTTAAATTGCTTAAATAAAAAAATTTTGATGTAACTGATTACCTAAAATTTTAGTTTTGGGTCTACAGTGCACTTGCGACTTTATATCTAACAACACTGTTTTTTCCTCACATTTGCTACAGAATAAAAAAATAAAAAAGGGCTTGCGACTTATCTAACAATACAAACTTTTTTTTTTTTTTTTACAAGTGCGAGTTTATATCTCAAATAGTCGCAGTTAAAAATATAATTTATATATAGTTTATAATTAATATAAAGTATTGACTATTGACCATTTGAAGCAAACCATGTTTTTCTGACAAGCTCCCGAATTCAGAGGCACTTTTTATAATACCCCAAAATACCCTAATTTTAATGCATTGTTGATTTAATTGCCTTGAAAACTTCAAAATGATAAACAAGACTTTTGTCTCAAAATATATTTTGTAATTTTAGCTAAATATAGTCAAATCTGTGCAGTGGAATCCAAAAGATTATTCTGTGTTGAGATTTGCTATAAAGTATGCATTGCTTTACGTGCTCCTCTTTTGGCTCACACTTCCGACCATCAGAAGGTGTTGGAGGTGTTCAACAAGCTCATTGACGTGGTAATTGATTCACTTGCTAATAAGAGTCCCTGAACGCACAGACAACTGAATCGGCTTCAAACAATGTAGACTGAGAAGAAGTGGGCTTGTGATTTTAAATAGTCCCGTGGCTTTCAGCTCCTAATGCCTCCTCCTTTGAGCCATTTGCATGTTTACACTTTTGAGTCTTTGGATGTTAATGCAGAATGAATCTGTTAATCATTAAAAACAAAAGGGGCCGGCGTAAGGCTGAACTCTGTTTGGTGCCTCGGGCCCCCTCCTAATATCAGGAGCCCCTTCCTAACAGAGGAAGATTTTTGTTATTCAAAGTATTGCATTGGGATGAAGGAAAAATTAACACTTAAAAATAAGAATATTTTTGTATTTGAAAAAAAAAATTTGTTAATTTTATTAACCGATCTCTGTTTTAAAAAAAAAGAAGAATGATGCTGCCATCTTTATAAAGTTATTTTATCGCCCTGTAATTTGGCTCCAAATATTGTACCCCCCTCTAGAGGCCGAAAAATATCATATCACGATTCACTATTTTATCTTGGTTTTACTATTTCAAGCGACTAAGCAGCACAGCCAAACTGATTTCCCTATATATGTAGCCTTACAAGGTAACAAAATAAAAGACAAAAGAGTGAGGGACCATTTAGGCCGAAGTGGGGGCGGACGAAGATTAAAATCTTTATAACAAAATAAAAAGAACAAAGATGCATATTACAAATAAAATATAATATACAAATGGAATAAACAGTGATTTATTTTTCACAGGTGTATTTAACAGTAGTATACAAGAAATTGAGTAACTGTAAAAATAACACACGAGCTACTGAAGTTATTCAGTGAAGAGCAGTGAGGGAGTTTCTCTTTTTGACTTTAGTTGTTTGATCAACATTATGGACAAGCGGCGGCAGGTTTATTAGGCTACTGTCACTTTAAGACCTCATGCCATATACAAACACGCATCCCGTCTTCTCCCAGCTGTTTACGGTTAGACATAAGACATAACCGACTGTGTTTATGTAAACCTAGTGTATATTTTGTGATGTGGATGTTCGTGTCGTTGTACAGTATGTTGGGGCGGAGAGGCCAGAGCTTCACCTGAACGCACTTTAACTCGATACTACCATATTTCTTGGAGACATTTCAATCACCCACGATCACAAGTCCTATATCGCACACCCCTCCCCCCCCCCCTACAAAATAGTGGATTGCTCAGTAAATATTCATCCATGACATTTCATATTTTGGCTTTCTTTTTAATGTCTTTCACCAGAAAAGAAATTATCCAAAATAAAAAAAATGTAGCCGGGGGCCTCTGGTTGAGGGTACGTTTACACAACAAATGTACTAACAAGTTTTTCTTTTGTGTTTTTCACACGGCAATGTTGTCGAAACGATCTCCGTTCACGCGGATACGACGTTAAACGCTGTATTATTCATGCCAGGCCAGTTATGGCGATGCCACTTTGTAAAGAAACACTGTAGTAATACACATGTGTATGATGTCACAGTTTTCACAAAGGTTTCGTCGTTTACATGGAGACGATAACTGTATCGTTTTTCAAAAACTTGCATTCAAATTTTGCATTTTTTAGGCCCCCAAACCACTGTTGTGTAAATGAACGGCCAAAACGCACAATAGTTTTCGGTTTTTACCATAGACAGTATAAGAAGTGGACAGAGCATCTCATTGGAACTCAGTTGAGACAGTTGAAGCCCATTTTTAGCGATTTTTGAGCACTTCCGTTCCTGACGCGCAGACTCAAACCGACTCAAACTAAGCTTGATGACGTGAGCAACCTGTCTGACAGACGTAAATCTTCTAGTAGCTGTGCGTGAAAATTGCCAACGTTAATCTTGCAGAGACGGGGAACTTGAGCAAAGAGTTCTTTATCGTGAGTGAGCAGGAGTAAGTATTCCGTTGCTTTTATGGACTCATTATCTATGGGCTTCTCCTTTGACGGGACGTCCCCCCGATTGCCTGCGAGCTTCTCCTCCTGTCTGTACGGTAATTTCTGTACAGCGCGACAGAGAGTCGAGTGGTTATGACGCAATCATTAGCCTATTTTTACTAAATCTGTTTCTACGGGGCCATAATGTAACATAGAAGGTAATGGAGCCCTTTATACATTGTCGTGTTTCTTTAGAACTAAATTATGGACAAATGGAGTCTTTAAACGGCTCAGATGTAAAGTTATTCGCTGTCAAAGTGACGCCAAAATGAATGGGAGTCAATGGAAATGCTAACGCAAGTGAAGTTCTGCTACAAGATGGCGGCACCCGGCCGACTTCAACTTCCGGTCGATGGATTACCCCCTTGGTTTTTACTTGAAACCGGTGTTGTGAAATGGCAAACAAAATATTTTATTTTGTTTGTGACTATGGGAATGAAATATGACCTGGACTTTTGTTTTCATGAGATCCATCCTGCTATACCTTGATGAGGTTCATGACATCTGAGAAAGAAAGCAGGTTTGCCTTGATTTTTGAAAGGAA